GTGAACGATGCAAGTGTGTGATCGGCCAGCCCAGGCCGCAGGAGAACAAAAGGAAGACCGCCGAGCCATCTCAAGCGGCTGTTTTCAGCCGACTGGGGCCACGAATCCCCAGTGCCTCTGTCAGCCACGAAGAAGAGGCCACCCCTAAGTCGGTAAAAACTTTCAAACCACCGGTCATAAAGGATGCAGACAACCGAGGCCGAGGGCAGACAACCGAGGCCGAGGGCTTCGAACGCCAAAAGAAAGCGGCGACTGCGGACGGGCCGTCATCCAAATCGGTTGTCTCCCCGGCGGTGAAAACAGCCAACACCAAGCCTCTGAGGGCGTGGCGCCCAAGGCAAGATAGGAGTCCCCGTGGTTCGCCGGCCAGTTCAGCTCAGCCGAAGGTAGCGGTCATAGAGAGGACATACGAGGTTGTCATCGACATCTACCGCAGGAGGGATCCCCCTTTTTCGGCCAACGGTCTGTCCTTTCTCAAGGAATTCCATAGGGACCATTCGGCCACGGATCTATACGGCCTGACCCCTGAGAGCCGAGAAATCGTGGAATTGGCCCTTAAAAACACGAAGGCAGAGGCGCTCCTCATCACCAGCGTTTCTGACTCGGCCATTAAGGCCGTATACTAGGCGAACAGGGAGGCCAGAGCAAGAGGCCTGCCAAGTCACCAGCCCAACCTCAGCGAATTAGAGGCTAAAATCCCCTTCAGTAAGGGCGATCTAGAATATCTCCGCCAGTACTTTGCTGTGACGCCGGCAGACACTTTCTTCGGCCTGACGACCGAGGAAAAGGGCCGAGTAAGCCGCCTAGACGATTACCTGACGGCTAGGGACGCATTGGCAGAGGTTAGATGCGCCCTCAAAGAGGAGGTCGAAACCTCAGAACCCCCTGAGGTCAAAGCGTCCACAACCAGTAGCCCGAGGGCCATGAGGCTTATGGACGAGGGTTTTGGAGATCCTCTCTTCGGGCATGAGGCCGAGGACGACCCCACAATAGGAATCTCCGATGAGGAATATGAGGGGATCCTCGGGATGGTCGAGGAAACGGCTCTTGCCGAAGACGACTATGAGGCCGATGAAGAGGCTGGCAGGGAAAACCCGCGGGAGCCATAAGAGTTCGGCATCAACATGGTCTTGGTGTTACCATCCAAGTTCTCAGCCCCAGGAGGGCAGACTGACGGCCTGGATGATGATATGGCCGAGGAACAGCTTGGTCAGAGGCCTAAAACAAAGGAGGAACTGTTGGCCGTAGCATTTCACGAGGTCATACCTAGAAGTGAGTCGAACAAATATCGACACCTCAAACCGTTATACATCTTGGCTCATGTTGAAGGGGTACCCGTGTCTAAAGTTTTCGTCGACTGTGGGGCGACGGTCAACATCCTTCCGTATTCCTTGATGAGGAAGCTGGATAAATCAAAGGAGGACCTCATACCCAGCGACGTCGTCATGAGCAGCTTCGTCGGTGACAAGTCTAAAACTATTGGCGTGTTGCCGTTAAAAATTACCGTGGCCGATCAGACGCGGGTCGCGGCTTTCTACGTGGTCGAGTCTAGCGTCGACTACAACATATTGCTCGGCCGCGACTGGATCCACCAGTCCGGGTGTATACCGTCCTCCCTTTTCCAATTATTATTCTTTTGGGA